AGCGACACCTGCCGCCGTGGGGCTCCCGGGGCCCCCGCGCCCACACCGGGCACGGGGGCACAGACACAAACTGGCAGGGCAGCGAGCCTGCCTTCCCACGGCACTTTATAACAAAGCGTGCCTGGGAAGGTCGCGTGGGTGAGGGAAGGATAAACTGTCAGGTTAAGCTGCATTTTGGAGCAGCTGCCTCTTAACGGCTTTTCTTCTGAAAAACTTAACGGCTTGCCTGTAGAGTTTGTCAATAAAAAATCCTTGAGCTTTAACACCCTCTCTCCATCCAAAACTTCCAAGCCTAAACAAAACAGCTTCTGAGGAGAGAGGTCAAAGATTGCAAAGCTGACTGGAAGATACTAACTGCTTATGTCAGAAACATTAAATACTAGACGAGTAAACTCATTTCATAGCATTTGAAGCCCATTTCCTACCAGTATTGCAATTCAAAACTTTAGAAGCCAAACTTTAAAACAGATAAATGGATGGTACGATGTCAGAACAGGCGAGAGATAATTTTTAATTTTACAAGCGTCTCTACCAGCAAATCTGATAAGCAGATCAAAATACAGTATTCTCCAGCATATGGTGGTAAAATCAGAAATCTGAGGCACTGAACCGAACACTTTTAAAAAGTCTCTCAAACCAGAGAAGTGGCAGCTGCACCCACAGTCGTGCAAGCACGGTGGCCTTCCAGCAAGGTGCCCTTACCACCTCACAGGGTAACTCCCAGCACTGAGATTACAGGTGCTGCTCTAGGATAAAGCACCACCACTGCAGATACTGAAGTCCTTGGGAGACAACTGCATTGCTTTTACCATTGAAGAAAAAAAAAAAAAAGGTTAAAACCCATCCTTAACTTCCCATTCAGCTTCAGATGATCACTCTGTATGTTACCATCCTTCAGCAGCCAGCAAGTGTATTTTATTCTTTTAAATTTCTTAAGGATGCGATTCTCTCTTTTCCCTCACTCAGATACTTTTCCAGAGCAAAATAAGTAAATACCCTTATTTAACTTCTTCTAAAAGAAATACTTACACGCATTAATAATTTATATCATACTGATATCTGACATCCCACAGAAACTCACAGCACAGCGTATTTATTTATACTGACCTCATCCATATAAAAATGCTCTTTTTATATACAGAAACTTTAGCTTTTAAGCCTGGATTATAAGTTCAATGTTTCTTATTAGACAGTTGTAGCTGTGCTAACTGGAATACACACTAAAGGAGATTCAATATAAAGCTAAGAAAAGATGGCTATTTTTCTTAAAATAGGTGATGAGAGTGTCATACAACCATTTTCCAGAAAACATTCAGGTTATTTCTTTCCATATACAGTGAGTTTGTTCTACCTGTTGCACTGAGACTTGTTACAACTACTTGTAAAGTTTATCAAAAGATAGTAGTTTCACTCCTTTAATATTGAACACGTAACTAACTCGCTATCTAGCAACTTACTCTGTGTTACATTAATCAAACTTCCTTAAGAATAGAAACAAAAGGCTACCCAGGGATGCCCAAGAATGCTGGCAGTACAGAATGACAACACAGTAAGAAAAATTTAAAAGCACAGCGATACAAAATGATGGTTTAAAAAAAAAAAAAAATCACTTTTTTTTCCCTTTAGAGGGCTTTGCAAATAAGGCAGGATCAATCTGGTCTCTGGACAGACCTCTCACTGAAAAAAGCCTTGCTGCTCTTTCCTTTAAAGTGCCTCCACATTTCAGTCCTAAAGTCATCAGTTCTGTCTTCAGTTTATCTAAACCCAGGGCTTCCATTTCAGCAGCAGAGTTGAATGCCAGTAGGTCTATTGGTTCCACCTCCTGCAAAGAGAAAAACATCCCATCAGACTATTTTTATTTTCTTCCTGATTGGGGGAGGGGGCGGGGGAACAGGTATAGACAGAATACTTCATTTTACAGAAGACCTTCAATTAGGATTATCTCAAACTCCTAATTACTTAATAAAGTTGAGCAATGTCTCCAGATGTATTACGCTGGATATTCTCATTATTAGTGGTACTTACGCTACCCAGGCAAAGTATTACTGCATCATGAACAAGCAAACTGAAGCTAGCCAGCAGCCTTGTCATAAAACATGCAAACCTTAGCAAAGATAACACACCCAAGAGCAGGGTGAATGCCCAGGTGAGCTTTGTACCTGGTGTCAAACTGTGCTGCTACAATCCTACTCCTCGCAGTGCCTCAGCTAGCTAGTTAAAGGCTCACTCTAACATTTCCAGGCAAGCTGCAGATGTGCTTAGGCTTGCAGTGTACACAGCCTCCCAAGACAGAAGCACTGGTCATTTTAAATGAAATACACACTGCTGAACTTTTAAACTTATTCCACTAGAATTAACACATTCTACTTGCAAAGAGGAATGCCAAAAAAGAAAAATAAAGAAGTGGCAGCATTTAATCCTATTCCTCTGGAGACAAATAGTTGATGCTTTTTATCCCCAGGGAAGTTAAGTACTCCCAGGAAAACTGAATTAAAAACAACAGCCCACCATCTCACCTAGCAGCTCAGTAGCTTAACTTTGGCTTCCAGAGGCATGGCAAAGCTAACAGCCCCTTTTTAGCCAGATGTAGAATAGAACCAGTATGACCCCAGCAGCAGCAGGAAGGAGGATGAATAGTTTTTTTATAACGCAGTTACACTGTAATTACAGAAACAGACATAAAAGCACTCTCTTTTTAGTAAGATTCACAAAAGAGCAAGTTCTGAAGTTCACATCTCATCCTGCCACAAGAAAATGGATTAAAATTTCATCTCAAAAGGAAATTAGTATATTTGCAGAATAATTGAGGGTGAAAGGGACCTCTATAGATTGCCTAGTCCAAGCCCAGGGTCTTGTCCACAAAAGAACATGGACAAAGACAGGATAATTCAAATGCTGGAATTTACTAACACACTAAGCACTAACATACTAAAAAGGACGCAAAAATCTAAGCCAATTTCACTCGATACTTAAAGCACATCATAGTCTTGTGGTATGTATCATGCTGGAGTTATCAAAGGGACTTCAGAACAAGTAATACCAGCAGTAGGAATGAGACCGCTCCGTTATGAACTCAGCAAATACAATTAATGCTACCAGAATTAGAACCTTTGTCCTGCAGTTGACCAGTTGCCTCATTATTCTCATCCTACTTTAAAAAAAAAAAAAAAAAATCCATCAAGGACTATTAAAAAATATTTCCACCTGCAATAACAATCTGCCACAGCATTGGTGGAGTTTCCTGTTCTAGGAATAGACAGTCTCACAAATACTGAGCAAAAGGTAAACAGTGAAGAATGGTAAACATCCTGTTTAAAATTTGCCAGCTCTAATAGTACAGTAGATGTCAAAGTTCTAATTTATCAGATGACATCCTTGGTCTTTTTTCTGTTTAACCATGTTAAACTTCCAGTTACCAGAATTCAGTCACTGGCAGTGGCAACTGATGGTAGACTTTCTGTTTGAGCTGACACAAGGCAGAAAATCCAAGCAACTCCCTAGCCCGAAAAAAGCGCCACATTTTGTTTTACTGCTAGATTAAGCCTAGATTAATTACATCCAAAAAAATTTTGTAGCAACATTATGCAAGGGGAAACGAAGCACAAGTACTGGCACCTCTTACTGCCAAATATTAGTCGGGCTTTCATCAATTCAGTGGGAAAAGCTATATTCTCTTTTGGCTGAAAGACCAAAGCCCCTTCAGCAAAAGAATCCCGGCCATATTCCTGTTGATCACCACCGAAGGAACCTCACGGTCAGCACTGCTCCTGGTCTGGCTGAGGGCTGTGGCACTAACCCAGATTGCCAGCAGAGATAATGGTATGGCAACAGCACAGACCTGCTTCCACCACGCGTACACCAGACGATCAATTTTAAAACCATTCTTCCACCATCCTTTGCAGTTCAGATGAAGCCCATCACTTATACTAATCCTGTCTCTCTAGTGAAGGAGCTGCTGCTTTCAGACTTTCAATGGTCAATGAAGAGCTGAAGTTTGCACCAGACTACTAGGGTTCTCTATGAACTAGACTCAAGTCTTTCTATAATAGAAACTAAGAAAGACTGATCAGCTGATTGGCTTAGGGGACGTCTACTTAGGGGACTTCTAATTTAAACACTGACATCAATTATAAACATTAAGGTCAAATTATGTTATAAATAAGATTAGTCGAATTGGACGGTGTTTGGTAATGTCTCAAAAAGTATTGGTAAGTCTTTCATTCTACAAAAGGGTTTGATTTTCCTTTTCTCCCCTCAGTAAAGAATTTTGGATCCAGAGTGTATCTATTTATGTAGAAGGAGGAAAAGAACCAACCAAAAAACCCCCAAAGGGAAACATGGATCTCAGGAAAGACAATACTAGACAGTTAAGGGCAACTGCATCTCAGTAGAAACTCTACACTATTAAAATCTTAATCTTACAAAGTTCTTCCTTGACCCATTCTACTTAGCATCTCTCAAGACAATGCTACCATACTATAATTCAACTTTCTCCATGGGGAATCTATGATTCTATGAGACACTGTCAATCAAGAGCCTTCTTTGGCTGCAGTTTCTGTTAGCTTGTTACATCCCCTTTCATGAGGCATACAATGCATCTTCACTTAATCTGCTTTTCTTTTTAACCTCAGGATTTTTTGCGCTCCGAATCACACTCTGGAGATTCTATTACCTTGTTAGGGAGACTATGGTTCTAATTCAAGCACTTACATCTAATACACTGAAGTCACAGGACACAAATCCCCACCCCTTTTCTGCGATCCATGAAGAGAAAACTGGTTGAGTAAAAGCAGCTGAAGAAAAAGACATACCACATTTTGTACTGTTTCATACTTACTGTGCTCTGTAACTGGTTCGTTTCCTGTGCCTCAGAAGAAACATTTTTTTGTTCCTCTTCTTTCAGAGTTTGGGTTACCTCATTCTTTTCTTGGGCCTCTTCCTTCAAGGGCTTTGTCATTTTACTGTTTTCATCAGCTGGATTTTCAGTTTGCCCACCTGCGTGTGCCTCCCCTTGCAGATCTCTTCCAGTACCTTCTGCCTGCTCCACTGGTTTCGCAGTTGCACTGGTAGCTGGACTATCCTCTACCGAATCCACAGAGCTGCTTGAACATTCATTTGAATTTCCAGCGTTTTCATTATATCCACTGCCTGATGGACAACTTTCGTCAGATGTACGAGGGGAGTCATCTTCGCTGTCATCCTCACAATCTGAACTGTCACGATCATCCAATCCTTCCAATCCCAGCCTGGCACAATCCGTATGTTACTAATGAATATTCATCTATTTTTTTTTTTTTTTAATTATTTTTATTGTCACTTTTCTCTTTCCAAAACTCATTTCAGAGAGCTGCAGTGAACTACTCCGCAGCTATATAGGATAGTTTAGTAAATGGAAGAGCTGCTAATATTGAACAGGACCCAATATCCCCCGAAAACAGGTACCTTTTATAGCATTCCCAATACAGAAATGTGTGCTACCTATTGCTACTCCAAACACCACTGGAACCATTAAGGCTTCTCTTTCATGTTACATGAGGTGAAAAATGCCAAGAAACACACCCCCCTTTTTTTTTAAAGTTCATTTTAAATTTAATTCATTAATGAAAAAAAGGATAATGGGAGGTAGTAGAATATAACCACGTTAGAAGGCAGGGAGTGGGGGAAGGGTGCCTATTTCTGCAAATAAAGTTTGTCTGCTCCAGGTGGGACAGAATTATATGTGCGCAGCAACATTTACTTTCAGTTCTCCAATTTAATCTGTTCAATTTAATTATTCCTATTTAAGTCTACATCTCACATAAGATGTTGCTTACTTGTACATACCTAGCCTTTCATCCTGTTCAAGGCTTAATACTTGAGTATTAAAAACAAGGCATAATGCTTACCAAAAACATTTTCTTTTTCGAGATTTTGTTCCATTCTTTCCAGATTCACCTGGACGCTTCCGACTACTGCCACTTTCTGGTGACACCATTTTGCTTGAAGTAGCCTGCAATCCTTCAAAATAAAGGTAAAAGTCTACTTCATCAGTACACAATTCATATATGTTGTAAATTCTACATATCTTTTAATTTCAGATGCAATTTAAAACACTAACTGAAAATAATCACTATTGGTGCACATTCATGTAGACTCAAAGCTTCAAAATTAACTCAGTAGTAGAAAAAGCTTTCCTACATGACAGGGTGCCTTTACTGAGGCACAGAGTCAATTAAAATTGGATCCCTGAACTGAACTCTTGGGTTCTACACCCCATTCAGCCTCAAGTTTCACTTGCCAACAAGGGAACAATCCATGGATAAATAAAATAACTACAAAGAACAGTAAATGAGACAAGGTATTTTGTAGTTTGATTAAATTTCTAGTTACACTACCTTCACAGAATTTTGCTTTTATTACGAGATGACACTATAGCACAGCAAGATGAAGCATCTGTGTGAAGTATCCGTGTTAAGCTGTTCAATGCAATTTAAGAGAAGCAGTAGACAAAAAGGAAAAATACATTCCAACAAATTTTACTGGAATTCAGAATTTCAGTCAATTGAAAGAGTTATCGACAGCAATTTTATTTTTTTTTTCATTTTCATACTGGAGTGAGGCTGTAGGGGTTTTTTTTAGTTTGCTTTATTTTTTGAGGGAGAAAGTGAGGTTAAACTGCAATACCTTTAAGGACTGAATCTTCTAGTCGCTCAGCCATTTCATGACACTGCTGCTGGTAGTCCGGATTTGTGAAATAGTGCTTTGGCTCCGCAAGTTTCCGCTGCAGCCTTTCCAAGCGCCTTTGCTCTTTTTCTGCTTCCCGCTCTGCTTGCTGCTTCACCCATTCAGCCATCCTGCAGGTGACAGAACCATGAAAATGAGAGCATTTCCAACATTTAATGTAATATCAGTTTGTTGCTTTGCAATTACTGAATGCTTCTACCACCTGCTAGGATGGGAGACAATGGGAAAAGACAACTAACAACACCCAGGGGAATTACTGAAGGAATATACAGAGATTCTGCTACAGAGAGGAGAGTAAAGTTTATTTTGGAAGCCAGAAACAGCAGTAAGGTCACATATCCCCAGTATCACGGTCCTGCAGCTTCAGAGAAAAGAACTGCGAGAATTCCAGATGAGAAAACCAAGAGGTGCAGAACAGTCTCTCAACCGCAGGCTGCAGTACAATCACCTCTATTTTGCAGTAATATAATTGTAGTCAGAAGAATCCTATTGGCTTCCAGTCTGTCTGTGCTTAAGATTTCACTTTTCCTCTTTTTAGTATTCAAAATAAAATTTCATTGCTACAACAGCCTGCCATTTGAACGTTTTTGTTAACCATGAACTACATGGTCACTTTATTTTCTAGTTCTAGCATCTAAGAAAATGCCTTACGCTTTTTCGTGATTGACATCTCGAAGTCTCCTTCCACTGAGATCTCGGCAAGCCTCTCTATTTGTTGTCTTTTCAATCTGAGCACCAAGTGCTCGCAACATGGATCCAAACCCTGAGAAAAAAGTAATAAAGAATTAGCTAAACAGAAAAACAGAGATGAGCTAGTACACAACAAAAGAATTAATCATGGAAAATTGAATACACTGTATTCAACACTTCCCTCTCCCTCAATGCAACTGAAATAAAGGGTAAGTTGAAAGTTGCGACATGTTGGAGAACTGTCACTGGGTGAAATGCTGAAACACAAAGTGAAAAAAAGGTATCCAGCGTTTACCACTCACCTCGTTTTTGTACTCCTGATATGACAGCAGATGGACTCCAGATTTACTAGAACCTGTGCAGCACTTCTAACATGAAAGCCTATTTCTGGACCACTTGGGTTTGATCTGCAAACCAAAATGGTTTGCAACCTTTTTTGTCTCAAGATAACACTGTGGGTCCTTTCTAATTTAGCCAGGATATACCTACCTCTTAAGCCCCCACCAAACTTAAGTCTGCCTTCAAAAATCCAACAAAAAACCACCCCTTTTTTAGGAGATAGCCTTAGCTGCTTCATCAAGATGACCATGATGTGCAATGTTATGCTGGACAGCTCCCCAAAATAGATTTCTATACACTCCTCAGCCACTAATTACTAATTACTAATGGAGAAAGACGCTGGTTTAAGTACCTCAAAGAAACACAATGTCGATTAATATTAATATAATCCTTCAAGCAATTTGAGAGTGCCAAGCACTGTTTTTTTAACTAGAAGTTGAAAAAATCTATACCTTTTAGCGCCCCAAAGTACCTTTAAGGACTGTTACAAACCAATCCAGACAACCTACTGTATCACGAGGCAGAAAAAGCATTGTGTTCAGCCAGCAAAACCAATTGCTGCCACTGGCAAGGAGAATTTCTGTAGCACATGAAACATGCTATTGAATTTTACATTCTGAAGAATGCGGACCTAGCTGCTACACCTAGCCAGGCATGCTCCCCATAATCAAAACCAATGTATTCAGCAGAGGTCACGGGTACTGAATTAGGTCTGATAATAAAACGCTCTGTTCTCTTCTAAGCCGGCATGATCTGTAACCCCTTGAGATCATACAGTAAGTCTTAGTAGTTCTGACCTGTGTGTGTTTGCCTGTTTTAGGTTATAAAGTCAAAACAAAAGGAATGCTTCAGAAATCAGACAAAATTGTTAAAGAACAATTTTAAACTGACCCCAATGGCACATCAGTAACACAGAGTGAATCGCAGAATGCGTATCCTGTGTCATCCCAGGATAACTGAAGCTGGTGGACAATAGGTGAGGCAGAAGCATCCTATATTGTGAACTTACACCATACGCGCCACTTTTAGGGCGCTTAAAAAACCCACAATAGCTCATAAGCTATAGCAATGACACTTATTTCCAGTTCTGCCTAAAACTATGAAGAAGGCAAAGTAAGCTGAGCTGCAGCCTGATGCAAGGCTGCACAATTATTCAGCATTTTAACTCAGTAGCTGGAAAATTCTGAGAACTGGATTAAAAAAGCAAACTCCAGTTAGACTCAGGTACTCTGCTAAACCAGCTTCACCCATCACGTTCCATTTTAGGGAATGCCCCTATCGTCAGTGGCTACATTGCTTTGCATGATTATTATGTATCTTCTGTAACACAGTCAAAATACTTTGTCAACATAAGGAGTCTGGTTTAGATTGAATTCTTTAGTTCTTAGGCTACTGGGATCTTGGCATTTAAATATTTTTTCAAGTAAAAGAAGACAAAATCAATTAGGTCATATAACATAATCAAATCACAGACTATTTGTACCTGGCATATTTGTCCTAAGTGACACGGATGAACTTAGGAGTCTAAGAAGCCAGGTGCTTTTAAACACAATTTCAACTCTGAAGTCACTCTGACGCATGTTACAGATTTATACTAGTAGAGCTAAGCTGACCAGGGGTGTGAAGAAGAGCTATGCCAGCAAAGCTGTTAGCTGAACTGCAGCTTCCCCGGTAAATTCTCAGCTTTGTACGTAGACTTTGGTTTCAGCCCACAGACAGTATACCACAGTCATCCACATTAAAAGAGATGTGCTAACAGATTAGGCCTGCTGCTATCAGTATAGACTACGGTAAAATAAAAGTTTTTTAACCTAAGAATCTAATCAATAAGAAGCAGTTAAGCAACAAACCTCCTTTTCCACCACAAAGTCTTGGTTCCAGACTATAAACAGCTCCATTCTGCAGTACATCTTCATCACTAACCAGTCGTCCGTTACACTTCACATACAAACTTTCTTCAGGAATATTCTAAACACACAAAATTGAATCATATGATCGACTGAAAATGAAACATTCTGACAAAATAAATCATTAAGGAGTAATGTTTCCTTCCTTCCTATACAGGAACAGAGAGGAAGCAAAAATCAGATGATCTTAAAAGCATAAACATTCTCTATGGCACTTGTTTTAATTCCCGTTTACCGAAGAATTAACACAGTCTAAATCAGCACGTCAACATGAACGGGGAAAAGCCGCGCTACAGGAAAATTTACACCCAGCGTTCAAACGCTCTGTATTAAAAAACCCAAACAAACAAACCCCACGTTTTGGGGGGGGTTGTAAAGAATTTAAGATTGGTATCTTCCACGGA